TTTCACGACCACCACCGCCACCACCGCCACCACCGCCGTCTAGGCCAATAATAATGGTCCCATCTGGACCAAGTATTTCACCGCCTGCCGGAGGAGGTGGAGGAGGAGGCTTCCGACCACCAACATCAGGAGGAGGTGGAGGAACTGGAGGAGGTTCTGGCACTGGAGGAGGTTCTGGTTCAGGCTCGGGTTCAGGCTCGGGTTCAGGTACCGGAACAGGTACATCTACCAGTGGAAGCACGCCTTGCGAGATAAATTGTGATGTACCGCAACAAAGCGCCCCAGTGCAACCAGTAGCAGCAGTACCTGCTAAAATACAACAGCCTGTAGCAGCAACACCTTCAACGCCAGTTGCTGTTTCTAGTACCAGTGGAAGCCAACAAGCACAAACCCAGGAGTGTGTATGTGAGCCGCAATCAGCACCGGTCCAGAATGCACAGTTAGGAGTTATAAATTGTAACGACAAGAGCAACCAAGATCTTCAATCCTGTGAAAATGGAAGTTCTGTGCTATCGACCACGATTGCCAATGTTGAAACACCAGTAGCGCCCTCTTACACGGCACAACCCGGCCTTTCATACTCTTCATCATGTATTTGCTAAATAAATAAGTTTTAATTTCTAATCCTTTTGTTGCTACGCGTACTTCACTGGCCATTTCCAATCAACCAAGGCCATACAAAAAACATATTTAGGTGCGGCGTGAGAGACAGTGTGGCACGTAAATCGTATTTTCTACCGATACTGATTAATTTTAGGTCAATTCTTGGCATTTCGACAGTAAACATGCAACTTTTAATTCTCCCCATAGGCAGTTTGAACTGACGGAGAGCCGCCAAGATTGAGATAGGTACCTAAGCGCTGAGAAAGGATTGTGGAGACGTATAGGTAGGTTAAATACAAATAAACGCATATTTGCATCGTTAGTTCGGTAAAGAACAAATAATAACTGACGGTTAATTGCTTCGCTCATAATGATAGCACTGAGGAAAATAATTATTGCGTAATTTGAATGTTTACCGGTAATACTTTGTCACATCAGGATGCTTATAACAAGGTTAAGAGCACCTCATAAGTTTATCTCTAAAACATCGGCAGTTCAACGGAATGCATCAGAGAACAACACAGAATACAAAGTTTTGCGCCAGCTAATTCGCTGTGACCCCTAAAGACTTCAAATTATCGCGTATTACCGTATACTAGCATACTCTGCGATATGCAGGACCAATCGTAGAAAGCTAATAAATCAAACATCTGTAAGTTTTCAGTAGAAAGCATACTCTGCGATATGCAGGACCAATCGTAGAAAGCTAATAAATCAAACATCTGTAAGTTTTCAGTAGAAAGCATACTCTGCGATATGCAGGACCAATCGTAGAAAGCTAATAAATCAAGCATCTGTAAGTTTTCAGTAGAAAACACACACCCTGTGAGTTATGACAAAATGCTATGATAAAATAAATAGCCAGTAGCGTTATAACTAATTTATCGAACAGCTTGTTGCCGGGAACGAAATGTATTACGGTGTTATGGGTGCAAAATCACTTGTATCGGATGATTACCTGTCATGATTTTATATCAACTGTAAATGTATTTATCTAGGCATACAAAGTTGCAAATAGGTATATTTTTAGAATGGTTCTCAAAATATCTATTTTCAATGCATTCCGCTAGCTAAATATGCTGATAAGACCATACTATGATTTGATAAGGCTCTTAGTAGAGAACACGAACTCGTTTTGGTTATTGCGAGAATTGTCAACAGAATACCATTGGTCAAAAAATATGCAAAATCATATAATGGTGCCGTACAAGATCTTGTGCAACGATAATAATTGCGCATCTTAAAGAATCAAATCTTGTTTTGCATAGTTGAGCTTATACATATAATTTCGAAGACGCCAAATCAGAACTATATAGGTTCTATAGTTTTGAAATGAACCAATTTGATCCAAGGATTTATTAGCTCGTCTAGTTCTACAGCTGTGATTATTCTTAAAACTTACGTTGAATAAATGTAGTGATACTTGCATTTGTAGTACTTTCACGATATTGTACTATATTAGTGCATCATCATACATTATAGTTGCTGCGAAAATTTAATTCATACAAACGATAATTTTTGCAATGATCCGTAATATACTTCAAAGAACGATTCCGAAGTATGGAACCATTATGATATGCTTAACCCAGTCGTTGCAGCTTGTTCAAGCGCAATGCACGTTTTCTAATGGATCGATCAAGACCAATCCGAAATGGATCTCATAAATCGGTTTTTAATAGCGTGATATAGCATAAAGTTAGTTCTATAGATTAGAAATCTCTTTACGGATACTAATGGTTAAGTAGACCATTAAAATGTGGTATTTTTTCAATTTCTCAAGAAAATCAACTGTTTAGGTTACCTAAATTTACTAGAAATGTCGTGAATCCCATGTTGACGTACGTGTAT